CACTCAAGACCTTTTTCCCCATATTGGACTTCCTGAGAATCATGCGTACCACAGGCCACTTTGAGACACCGAAATAGCTTCACAAGGCCTATTTTCATGAGGTCACCATGTCTGACATCCTCACCAATGTCAATATAATTAATTACATACACCAAAGAAAGCTCAACCAATGCTTTACAATATAATCATTCTGATAACAGAGCCTCCCCCTGATCCGATCAAGCAACGGTCTTCTAAGTGAAGATGGTTCAACTTTTCCAGCATCAACCTCATTTTTGGATAGTGTAATCCATCTGGAATCGTGTTTTTGTGATCGCATGGCATAAACAGAGCCTAAAAAACATGTATCAATAAAGAAATATGTTGATATGGAACATGTAAAACGGACAGTTAAATGGTTACAAGAAAACAGAGCATTCCAACACAATTGAGATTGAGTGACTAGAGTAGGAAAGAAAAGAAGTTTGACATCTATTACGATCCAATGATCAAAAAGTTCGATATTTCACTATGTATCCCTTGATAACATAGAAACCATGTTCACAAATGGAATAAAAAGGTCCAATTTGTTAACAACCAAACAAGAATGGATGATAGCAGAATGGGTTGTATGGATGCTGAGGAATAGCAGAAATTTTGAAGGGAAAGTTGAGTATGCAGAGTTGTTATGGGATAGGGTTAAGTTCTTGGAATCTCTATGGGTTGCGTTGATCATTAGAGAGTTTCGAGATATTCCTTTTTCATTATTTCACATCATTGGAAAGTTGTTTGCAATTGGCGGATCTTATTTTGTAATCTTATTTTCACTGTTCACTTTTCTCTTTGTAATCTTTCTTGCACGATCTTTTTCATTGGTTCTCTTTGTAATTTTGGTGTGCCAAGATCTTTGAACTCATTTAACTCGAACTTACTTTGTATCGATGTATATGCCTATGTGGTGAATCTACTTGAGATTCACTTCAAAACAGATTTTGTCATTAGGCGAATGGAATTGATGAATAAATAAATATTTTCTCGAGCATGTGTTAGGTATGCATGTATAGGCACAAACTAATTATAAAAAGTAAAGGATTCTATATCAAAACATTGTGTTTTTCATCGACAAATATTGGAAAGTGTCAATAGCCATGCCCAAATCATTGTCAAACCATGAGTTTAAAATTTGTGGTAGAAATACCTACCAGTAGAGAAACAAAAAATTGGTAACATTTAGATATATATGCAGAAGAGTTGGGGGTCAATCCAAGACTTAACTCTATTGAAAAGAGACATAGAATGTTTGTGTGCATAACAGAAATAATAAAAAAAACACAGTGTATCCCGATTATGCTTCTGAGGAATTTGAATCCATCAAATGGTTTATGCAATGGAACAAGAATGGTATGCAAAAAATTTGTTCACAATGCTATTCACGTTGAAATGAAAAATAGCCAACATGCTGGAAAATAAGTTTTCCTACCAAGCATCCCTCTTTCACCTGCGGAAACAGAAGATTATCCATTTGAGTTCAAGAGAAAGCAATTTCTTATATTCCTGTGTTTTGCAATGACTATAAACAAAGCAAAAGGACAAACAATACCACATGTGGGAGTTTATCTTCCTCAACATGTGTTATCCCATGGTCAACTCTATGTTTGCCTTATTGCGTGGAATTTCGATGTCAACAACAAATTTTTTGGTCAAACCATATAACAAGACAAAAAAAGAAGAGGAGTCTACACCAAAAATATTGTGTACAAAGAGGTCCTCCCACACCCCAGGTATTTCCAAAAAAAAAAAATACTCTTATCGTCTTATGTAATTATGCATCTCAAGGGTGTTAAATAAAAAAGTAAGGTAGGAATTTTACGACTAATAATATCATATGTAACTTGGACTCCCCAAGTCAGGACACTGACACAAATAAAATATAATATAAGATACTACCTCTAAATGTTTGCAAGCAATAACATTTTGATTTCTTCTATTGTACTCTCATTTCTTGGCATTGAATGCTCATAAATCCTCGACAATTCAACTCTAATTAGTCACTAATATGGATATATTGTAATTGGTGATTTGGTAGGCAAGAAATTCGAAGTGAAGGTGTCTGATGATGAAGTCCCAACAACTCAATTTTCAACCATCGATCATCTACGAAAATATGACACCAATTGGTTCCTAATGGTTAAGGTTCTTCGGAGAGGAACAATAGTTACTTTCAATAACAATATGTGCTCCGGAGAACTTTGGAAGGTTATTCTAATTGATGATGAGGTTAGACATATTATCAAATGCTAATGTATTACTTATAAGTTTAACATTTAAATGTTATATGATCATAAATCTTTATTTTTTTTTCCTGAAATCAAATGCAGGGAGCAAGAATTCAAGCTCTAATGTTTACCGATGCAATTGCCAAGTTTGGAGACTTGTTTAATGAAGATAAGACGTATCTCATTTCTAATGGAGTAGTGAACTCAACAAATAAAAAATTCAGCAATGTACACAAGGATATTGAATTGTCACTCACAATCAATACCAATGTGCAAGAAGCCGAAACCGAAATACTACCCTATCATAAGTTCTAAAGATGTACTCATCACACATAGAGATGAGGCCATAGCATTTGGTATGTATTCTCGAACAACATAACAAACAACATGCATATTACAATTTTCAGCATGATACTGTTCTCAAAATCCTAATTTGTATGCAGACATCATTGGATTCATGGTTGAAATCAAACCAGTAGTGAACATCAACAAAAGTGATAAAAGTCAACACAACTATTTTCTCTTAATCATTTGTCATTGCAAGGACAAGACTATATTGGTTTATCCAATTTGGGAATTTTCCTATAAAATGTGATTATTAACAAGCTTAATCTCAATATTTATCAAAGATGTGGATTTCTAAGAAAGTGCTACAGAGATTTAATATACAATCCCTATAGTTTGTCCCAATATTTCATTTTCCACATAGTTTGTTTAGTTTTAAAAAAATAGTTCACAACCTTAGTGTACAATATTTCATCCTTAAAAATGTCCAGGTGCAACGCACGTGGGCATCAACTAGTATAAAATAAATATCCACATAGACCACTCCACATATACATCATGAAATATTACTTTTTAGTATTACACAGCTACCGCACATATGTCGGAACCGAAACTAATGTCTCATCGTGTACTTTGAGCACCGAAGAATAGGTTTAGCTCCAACGAACTGTCGTATCTTCCAGTCCGATTTTCACAATATTGATGATCATCTTCTCCATATATTGACAGGGTCTTTGTGTCCATGGATAGTTTCTCATTCATTCTTGGAACAGCGATATGCTATCTCTTATTCTTCTTCCAGCAACAAAGGTTGTTTGGGAAGGACTGATAAGATGGGGTAATAGGGTTTTGAGTAGAGATGGGTCTAAAACCAAATATCCTGATTCGATTACGGAACACATCCCACTTTCTTTCACACTTTTAGTGCGAAAACAGTTTTGGTTTGAGAAATGTTGATTTAATGTAATAGATAGTGAAAGGAAATTGAAAATAACAAAGAATATACATAGATAGTACCCGATGCACAAGATTCCTACTAAGAGAGCAATATATAGTAAACAATCCTGTTTCCATTTGGAGATGGTAACTTCTTGACTCAAATCCATAGTGTATCACTTGGGCAAGAAAGTATTTTTTTTTTTTTTCAACGGTTAGAGATGTTTAAAACTAATTTACGCGACTAATTTTCTCTCCCATCCGATACTGTTACAAGAGAATTGTGTGTGTGAGAGAGAGAGAGAGAGAAGAAGAAGAAGAAGAAGAAGAAGAAGAAGAAAATGTACAATGCAATAAAAATATGCCTGCATGTGTCCCATTGAGTCCTCTAATTAGACAACCAACTATGCCAAAGTCAATTAGTAAAATGAAACATAATAACATAATGTAATTTATCATCTCATTTGGTGATTTTTAGTTGTTCAAATGAAGCGAACCAATACCATTAGGATTGACAATTCTTATTGCCATTTGTCACTGTAACACGAGATCAACATAAATTAGTGGGCATAAGCCCGATCTTAACGAAATCAAGTCATGATTAGATTTTTCGATAAATGAATAACCCAAACACAATACACAATTTATACAAGATGAGATTTTGATTATAGACTTAACAACTTATGCATAAAAATACATAACCATGGTTTTGGCCAAAAACCTCACCCTAACTTCTTCTCCAAATCCATAGAATACATATTTGTATCCTATTTAATACTGTAAAATTCATTAAACACCAAAAATTAAAGATCTGTATACATAGAATGTGTAAGCAAAAAATAAAGGAAAAGACTAACTATAACTCTTTACAAAAAAATTTAGATTAATTGTGTCCATTTGCAATTGATCCGATTATTTTTCAAAATTTAAAATTTTTGCATTATAACTTTATTACCAATGTCATCTAAAATGAATGTCTCTATGGACTTGGCCATTATATAATGACCCTAACATTTATACAGTACCAAAATAATCTCATAATTTTCTTTTCAAAAATATTATAAGATGACTTGAATATGTCTAAGATTTATTCGAACATGTACAAAAATTAGTAGTCATTTTACGCATGAATGTAATAATCGAAATAATTAGGGTGGACATAATTAATAATACCTATAAAATTTATGAAATTTATAGTTTGAAAATGTTTTAAGTGGAAAAATTAGAGGGTGGGCACATCTATTACTGGCTTCACCAGTGCTAACCCAGACATCAGATCCAAGAGAGTCTACATTTCCAGCAGGATGAGCTGTTTTTGTTTGATGACAATCAAACCTCCCCCCAAATTAATATTCCCTAGCGTTCACACTACATGAAATAATGCAACTGCATCAATACTTCACTACCCCTCTAAGCTACCCCCCACCCCAAATGACCTATATATACCTCCACTTCCTGGATTCTCACCTTTCATTCTTCTTAAGTATATATAGACACATATATGTTTCTTTATTCAACCTTACAATGGAACATAATGAAGCTTCCATGCCAGTGAAGAAAGCAAAACCTGCAGGCCATACCCGGAAAAGGCGACCGCTCAAGGCTAAGCTGTATACTGAATTGGTGGAGACACTAACTATCATGGCAGCAGGAGGAGGAGAAGATAAAAAGATCAGCAAAGGACATGGAAGCAAAAGCTCCTCCACAACCAGTACTCCACCATCTTCAGGCAAGTACAATCTAGAAGAGAAAAAACATGTTTGAGAGACAACAGAGGGATCAATGAACTTCAGCTGGCCACTCTTGATTTTTCATTCGGTTGATGCATCTAAATTTGGGTGTGAGATCCTCTAAAATATGCTTTTACTTAGTTTCAATCAAGTGTAGATCATTTATCATATTCATATACTTGTGTCGATCAAAATAACGTGATTGGATCTATTTTTGAGAGTGTTTTTTTTATTATGCTATTAATAAATATAACACTTTTGATAACCCAAATTTTTGTTTATCTTGAGAATGCTAGAAGGAAAAGGGTGCTAAAAGCCCCAATTGTCTATGTCTACGTGTCAATCAAAATCTTTTGAGGTTGAGAGAGAAGGAGCTGCCAAGAAACTTCAATTCCGTTCAAGTTTTCGATAGGTTGGAAAAAAAAAAAAGAAGGCACTTTGTTGTCGATCATTACCAGATGTTTTTGGTTTCGAATCTGAGGTGCGGTAAATGGTCAACTACTTGGTTCCCTATTCATCGAGTTGTTCGAGGAATAGCCAATAGCCACGACTAAAAGGAGTAATGATATAGTTGAACCTATGATTGACAACTCTTGAGCAAGAAAATATTTCTTTTTTCAATTTTATAATTTTTTTGGGTTCCTTGAAAATGGGATCAAATATACAAGATCTTTTTTGGGAGAACCAAAAGGAAGTTCAGCTTTCATTTCCCAAATGATAAATTCAAATACAATCCACTATATAAATAAATCTCTTACCTATACCTAATGGGTGATATCACCTTGAATTATATTGAAAAAGATGGGAACTGAAGGAGTTGAGGTCATAAATTCAGGTGTTTGAGATGGTGCCAATGCTTTGTGTAACTACAAGGTTATTGCATATTTTTTGTTTTTTACATCTATTTCATTGGGTCTTTCTTTCAATTCTATGATATATACATATTTTTTGCAATTTAATGGACTTAAAACTATAGGATTCATTTAGGTGTACTCTTTGCATTTTATCTTTACAACCATTGTAAGGATTTTTTTTTTTAAGCAATATCTATATAATAAAACACAACCTATTTTGAATTCTTAACTTATAACCTATCACGAGAATGACTGAAATTGATCTAATTTACATCTCATTCAATCCAATGATCCAAATTTAGTCTCACAAATTTTTTTCCCCCAAATTCAAAATCTCCCTTTGCACACACCCCAACAAACCAACCAAAATCCACCCATGTATTTGGCGCCGTCATGAGAATGACAAAGTTTTCACCCAACCACCTTTTTTCGTTATCTATGGCAATCACCACCAGACCCGTAAATCATTCTGAGGACGATTCACCACGTGAAGAGGAGGTCGTACCCCCCTAGCCAATCTTGTTCCTAACTCGCAACCAATGTTACTGGAGGCAATGCAGCTGCAAATCCTCTAGTTGATGCTCGCTGGGCAAGGAGGTGCGCGACCAGGAGAGTACCAAGCTAGGGAGCACCTCGCCCCAGGGCGCCAAGGAGGTCCCCAGCTGGACGCCCACCTCCAAGTTGTCTGCCAAGCCTCCTTGGGTGCTTCCCTTGAGGGGAGCCCCTCCTCAACGCTATGGGGTGGCCCTTCTCCAAACTCCCTCCTCCCACGTTGGAGACCTCTTCTTCAAGAAGATGA